CCCCCACACACACACACACACACACACACACACACACAGGTTGTCATCAAAACGTTGGCTCTGTGGACACGCTGTCAGAAACAAACCGCACCCCACAACGCCCGCAACCGCCCGTGACCGCCCGGCGGGAGCCATCACGTCTTGAGCTTGCTCCGGTGACCCGACTTGGTTCCGTTGGAGAGTTTTCCGTTGACGCCACAGCTGGGAGTCTTCTTACTGCTGATGAACAAGGTCTCCTCGTCACTCGACAGCTCGCTCTCCGAAATCATCACACTGCTGTTCTGGATCTTTCCTGAACCACGGAGGAGGAGAGAGGAGGAGGAGAGGAGGAGAGAGGAGGAGGAGAGGAGGAGAGAGGAGGAGGAGAGAGGAGGAGGAGAGAGAGGAGGGATTGGTGAGTAAGGAGAAAGGGGAGGAGGAGGATAGAGGAGGAGGAGGAGAGAGGAGGAGGAGGAGAGAGGAGGAGAGAGGAGGAGAGAAAAGAATAAAACCTAGCACTGAGTTCACTGAGGGTCCTCTCCCCCCGACCACACACCACATGTCCTAGCACTGAGTTCACTGAGGGTAACATCACGATGTACCAGCAAACTCCGCCTCTTAAAACATTCATAAAAGACGTAAAATCAAAATGAAATCATTCAAAGATAGCGTTCAAAAACTGAAGTCTAACCATTACTACACCCAAACTCAACAAACCCACACATGAATCAGGTGGATCACAAATGTGGATCACGTGTATCACAAATGTGGATCAGGTTTATCACAAAGTTTTGAAGACGTGGAACGCATGAGGGGTCTGTCAGATTTGTTCAGTATATCCGCTAAAAAAAAAGATTTGTTCTTGTTGTTTTTGACTTTGACAGCAGTAGCAGCCAAAATAGGGGCGAAAAGGGCGGAAGATAAGAGAGGTCACTAGGGAGAAACATACATAGGAATGAAGGAGGAGAGATATAAGGACGATAGATGTGTGATAGGAATGAAGGAGGAGAGATATAAGGACGATAGATGTGTGATAGGAATGAAGGAGGAGAGATATAAGGACGATAGATGTTTGATAGGAAAGAAGGAGGAGAGATATAAGGACGATAGATGTTTGATAGGAAAGAAGGAGGAGAGATATAAGGACGATAGATGTTTGATAGGAAAGAAGG